AGTCATACAGCTAATAAGGTGTTGAACTGGTATTGGAACCAAGATAGTGGTTCCAAAGCACACAATTTGAACAACTACTCTGTGACATTTACTATTCTCTTCTACTTTCAGGGCTTTGTCTTCTGTCATCCCTATCCTCTCCATGGCCTACAATCTCCTGGACAACATGTTAGGACTGTTGTGTTTAAGTAAAGACACCCAATTTAAACATGCGTAAGCAAGACAGGTAAAATAGAAAGACGGGAGGGTCTCACAAAACCCAGGGATAATAAAGCTGGGCCTTGGGAACAAATGAACCAGGTGCTTGATTGCAGCCAGGAGTTTTCATCTTTCTTCTTCTAATACCCAATTCTCTGGGAAGGTTCACAAAGGATGGCTCCTATGCAACCATAAGGATCAGAGCAGGTGGTAGAAAAGGGGTGCCACAGAGACAATCTGATAGATGTGTATGTACAAGTCCTCCTGTTGTCTGCCCCATAAATATGTGTGCCAGTTTCTTATACAAAAAACAAACAAAAAAAGCCCACACCTAACAATCCACAGAAGCTTGTGAATCTTACAGAACTATAGCATTCAGAAATAATGGCATGGCATGGACACACCTCTTCCACCTCTAAATGTGGCTTCATTTATCTTATAACCTCTGATGAACTTAACTGCTACCAATAGATTGTAACATGCAATAGTAGAGAAATAATTAAATGACCACAATCAAAATTCCCTTTTAGGAAAGGAGAAGTGACACTATTAGTCAGTCACCAGGTCTAAGGATAAACTCTTTTCACCTGGACAGGAATAATGGAAATGAATTACAGGCATAGAAAAACTATTAGGAGTCAATAAATTGATGCACTTCCTTGCTTAACCTGTTTCTACTTAGGCTTACGGTGTGCTCTAGAAAAGTAATGCTCATCAGGCTGGCGTTGTGGCTCAGAGGTAGAGCACTTGCCTAGCACATGCGGGGCACTGGATTCGATCCTCAGCACCACATAAAAATAAGTAAATAAAATAAAGATATTGTGTACAACTACAACTAAAAAATAAATATTAAAAAAAAAGAAAAGTAATGATTCTCAAACTTGAGAATGTTAGAATTACCTGAAGGGGGCTAGTGAGACCAGCAAAAACTGTAGGTATACTCCTTTCAGACACCTATGATAAGAAACTTGACCAAGGTTACAGGACTTCTAGTAGCCTAAGGTCAAATCTCTGAGGAGACCCAGCCCACTCCCAGATTCCTGTCAGGAAAATCACAGGGCTAGAAAAAGAATTTACAGCTTGTTCTAGCACACACCTGACGGGCCATCAGCCTCACTTTATTATTTATTTAAAAGGCTTACAGTTGTGAATCCTTCCTCTGTACCTTTGGGTTATGTATGCCTCTCCTAAACCCAGAGTGATATCTAAGGATCTGAAAGCAATTCCTTAGAAATGTAATTATCAGGAAGGATAGGGCCTCTGTCTCTGTTTCCGGCAGGAATAGAAATCTAACTTCAGTAATTGCCAGCCACCGTACACAGCTGGCCCAATCACATTTACACTGACCAGTACTCACAAATTTTTTACTTCCCTGACACTACTGAGCCCCCACTTAATCCTATCCCCTATTCCCTCATTCTCTCTTTAAAATGCCCAGTCATAGCCCGGTGTGATGGTGCATGCCTGTAATCCCAGAGTCAACAGGCTAAGTGGCAAGAGGATTGCAAGTTCGAGGCCAGCCTCTGCAACTTAAATGCTCAGCAATTGAGACCCTTTTTGTTGTTGTTGTTTTAAAGGACTGGGGATGTAGTTCAGTGGTATAGAGCCTCTGGTTCAATCTGTAGTGCTGAAAAATAAATACATAAAGTAAAACACCCAGTCATCTATGTGCAAATCAGAGCAAAGTTCAGCCCTTTCCCCTACTGTCAGTAGTTACTGAATAAAATCTGTTCTCACTGTTTTGCTTTAACTAATGTCAGGATTTTTTTTTATGTGTGTCACCACTTAAACCACACACCCAGTGTTTCTGATCCTGGAGGTCTGGAGTGAGGCCCAAGAATGTTAAATTTGTAACAATTCACAGGTATTGCTGGTGTGCTAGTACAGGGACATACTGGGTTTGTTGTTGTTGTTTGTTTGTTGGCAGTGCTGTTTCACTGTCATATAACATGGAAAGCCAAGCTCCCTTCCCAGCAACACATGAAAGAGACCTTCTATCTCTGTCCACATTTTAGGGCCTGCAATGTGCCACATCCCATTTTGGTACCAGTTCTTGAATTAGTTAACATTTTCTTCATGATAAGCAGTTTTTTTCTTTCTCTCTTTTTTTGTACCAGGAATTGAACTCAGGGGCTCTTGACTACTGAGTCACATCCTCAGCCCTATTTTGTGTTTTATTTAGAGAATAATAAACAGTTTTTAAACCAACTCTATCTTTAAAAAAATAGAATAGTAAGGATATGGGGTTGTCTAAGAAAAACCAAGGAATGCCTTAAGAATGATATGGAACCTGGACTACCATGAAGATTTCTAATCTCTCATCTCTGCCCATTTTCATCTTATGACTTTTATTTTTAAAATTTTGGGGGGTACTGGGAATTGAATCTCAGAGTGCTTTATTACTTAGCTACATCCCCAGTCCTTTGCAGCTTTTGAGACATGATCATGTTAAATTGCTAAGGGTCTAAGTTGCCTCAGCCTCCTAAATTGCTGGCATTTACAGGTGTGCTCGAAGGGTGCTGGCTATTTTTCAAATATTTTTATTGGTGAACCATAATTATACATAATAGGAGCCTTCATCATCATATATTGGTACCTCCACATAGCATAGTTTGGTCTGTTTTATCCCCCATACCTACTCTTTTCCTCCTCTCTTTCTTCCCCTAATCTCCATCCTCTACAAGTCTTCCTTCCATTGTCATGAGGTCTCTTCCCCCACTTTTTTTTTTCTTTCTAGCTCCCACATATGACCTTTGACTTTCTCAGTCTATGGCTTATATATCATGGAGCATGATGTCTCCAGTTCCATCCATTTTGATACAAATAACATAATTTCTTTCTTATTTATGGCTGAGTAAAATGCCATTTTGATATATATATATATAAAACACTTAACCACCATGTTTTCGTTAACCTGACTCTGCTCTTTTCTGAGTCTGCATGGTTTTCTTTTTTTTTCTTCCTTTGTTTTGTTTTATAATAGGAATTTAACCCAGGGACCTTTTACCACTAAGCTACATCCCCAGCCCTTTTTATTTTTTATTTTGAGACAGGCTCTCTTGGGAGTTGCTTTAGGGCATTGCTAAGTTATTGAGGCTGGTCTTGAACTTGCAATCTTCCTGCTTCAGCTTCCCAAGTCACTGGGGTTTCAGGCATGCACCCCCACACCTGGCTAAATATACAGTTTTCTTTGTCTGCTAACCAACATTGTTTACTTATATCTCTCCAGTGGGAAAACTGCTGAATAGCTTCCAAGATTACACTTAAGAGAAAAGCAGATATCTCTGATCTAATTCTAAATTTCTTTTTTTATAAATTTATTTTATTTACTTATTTTTATGTGCACTGAGGATGGAACCCACTGCCTCACAAGTGCCAGGCAAGCACTCTACCACTGAGCCACAATCCCAGCCCCTAATTCTAAATTTCTAGGGAATGAGATTCTGATTGATCCAGGTTGGATTAGGTGTCCGCTTCTGTTTAATTATCTAGAGATAGGAACATGGCAGTTTTTTGCCCCTATAAATGGGGAAAGAAGAGGGCCAGTTCTTAGAAAAGGGCAGATGGGCAAACAATCCAATAGTGTCCAGTTTACTAGAAAACCTCTAGTCCTTCCATTCTTTATCCCTTTAAGCCACTGCCCTCTCACATTCACTGCATGTTTTCAATTTACCTATGTGCACTGCCTCACCATCTACTTATTCTTTGCCATCTGGGCCTTACCCTCTTGTGATATATTCTTTTATGGAGCATGGAGCTTTTTTTTTGCTTTTGCATTCTAATAGAGACTTGTCTCAGACATCGTTCATCTTGCTCACTCTTGGGTTGTACAGTTTTGAATTAGTACCAAGACTAATTCACAATGACATTTGGAAACAAGGGCCCTAAAATATAAGATATTTAATATAAATACTAAAAATGGGACACAGTAGTTCAGTGAGTACCAAAAAGGTACAACCTGTAGTTCGTGTTGGCCCACATCTCCTTGCTCAAAGAGATCCTGCCATTCAATTTCGCTTTGTCCCACATTGTCCTGGACAAATTTGTTTCACCATTGCTAACTCGGGAAAAAAATTCTAAAGCAAGCAAGTCGCTGTAGAAATTGTAGTGGTTATTTTTATGTTTCATATGTGTTCTTTCTCACATAAGTAAGGCATATTAATTTCCGCATCAAAGTGAAAATTCTCCCTCCTGGGGAATTTTAGCTCACTTTGGTTAAATTCAATCAATACACTCAATTTCCTTTCCCATGATGCATCACTCCTCCCCCCACAAACTCCTTATGCTGGGAATGGCAGTAAAAAGCCTAAGGCAGTTCAGTGGGATGCAAGGAATTGAGAGTGCAAATCCTAAACACAAATCTTCATGCCCCGCCTCTTTGACCCTGTGAACCACAAGGCAGGAGCTGGGTGGTAGTTATGTTAGCTGACTACATCCTGAGGCCATTTGCTAGAAGACTACAACTCCCAGGATGCCCATCCGCCCCGCCCCATTCCCCCTCCTCCAGCTAAAAAGCGTGTATCACAGAGAAGACGAGGCAACATGGCTCCCGGAGGTGGAAGGAAGAGGCTTTACCCTCTTTGAAGCGGTAAAGAAGAGCAGCGGGAAAGGAGAAAAAAGAGAAGCGACTAGAGCCTGTCATCGCTTTTATCCTCCCAACCTCTCCTGAGTCCGGTCGGCCTCACCCCTCCAGTCCACCCGTATCCAATCTGCGGTCTCCTCCCCTCCCCGCCCTGGTTTCCTCACCCCTCCCCTCGGGAATCCTTTTCCCGCCCCCTCGCCCCCCGCGGAGTGCGCACGCGCCCGCCCCCAGCTTCGCGCCCAGATCGCCTCCTAGCTTGCTCGCGCAGCCGCTGTCTCATCTCGTCTGCCCACCGACGAAGCATGGGCGTCCAGGGCTTCCAAGAGTTCCTGGAGAAGCGTTGTCCTGGGGCCGTGGTGCCTGTGGACCTCCTCAAACTCGCGCGCACTGTATCGCGCCAGCAGCAGCAGCAGCACCTGCACCGCCAGCTGCCACCGACGGCAGCCTTAGCACCTGGAGCTCCACGCGCCGCCAGGGGCTCTGCTCCTCTGCAACCACCGCTCCCGCCCGCAGCTTTAGGTGCCTACTCCGGGGGCGCGGGCCCGAATCGGCACCATCACCCTGCTCACCACTTCCACCACCACGGCCCAGCGCAGCCCGGGCTGCACCCGCCACTGCCGCCGCCGCCCCCTCCGCTGCCCGGGGCTCGAGTGCTTGTAGACGCGGGCTCGGCGCTTCCACGGCTCTATGGCGGTTACCAGACGGATTGGGTGTGTGGCGGCCAGTGGAACGCCATGCTGGGCTACTTGTCAGCGCTGTGCCAGGCTTGTGCCTACCCCGGCGGCGACGGCCTGGAGCTCGTGGTCATGTTCCCCGGGGGCCTGGGCAAGGACCGACTGGCAGAGTGGGGCCGTCGGTGCCAGGCCGAGCGGCAGACAGCGCAACTGATCGTGGGACACGTGGGCAACAAGGGCACCCCTCCACCGCGGGCCTGGTTCCTGCCACCGGCCTGCCTGAGCCACTGCGTGAGGCTAGCACTCATCCGCTTCCGGGTCAAGGTGAGGGAGGGGCCGGATTTTAAATAACACGCCCTACACCTATTTCCTCCCAACTAAACACCTAGCCACCTACCCATTAACCCACTATCACCCACCCACCTACTTACCCACTCAATCCGCTAGCCGTCGATCATTTTATCCATCTACCCCCCCACACACTTCATACCATCTCTACGGATTTGCTTACCTACCAGACCACATGTCTATCCGTGTAATCCCAATAGCTCCATTTACCTTCACTTATCTAATTGGCCTTCCTCCAGGTTTTAACACAATCAAGTCAGAATTTCTTTTGCAGCCTCACCTTTCTCCAGCTGTCTTTTACCTCAAACTGAAATACATTTTCCTTGCTTTTCCTAGTTGACATCTACTCCTATACTTTTTTCCAATCTCACAGCAAGTCAGTTGAGCAGATGTTAATTCAACACCTCCAATATTTTTCCCATCTTGACAGGGTGCTGCTTTTTTTTTTTTTTACCCATCTATCCATTCAACCTTTCTCATTTATCCATACTTCAATTTCCTCCTGTGTTAGCCTAAATGAACAAACAAAAACCCACTGATTCACTGTTCAACAAGTATTAACCCACTGAATATAAGGGGTTTGCAAGACACCGTTCCTGCTCTTGGAAAATTAATCATGTACACATGGAACATTTATTTAATCGTGTAAATGTGTACGGCAACTATGGTTTATCATACAGACAGTAAGTATAATACCTGTTTGTGTATGTGTGGGGGGAGGATATTTGTGAACTGAGATAGTCTTCCCTGAAGAAAGACCTTGCCTGGGTCTGCAAGGATGAGTTGGATTTGAATGTGACACAGATTTGGGAGGAGGATACTTTCAGTGAGAGGAAGAAAATGAGCAGAAACAAAAAGGAATACCAACTGTGTGAGGCCCCATGAGCAGTTAAGTCCAATCTGCATGTAGTTGGGTCACTCACTGCATATGGGGCCTGGGGAATAGCTTGGCAGCATCCCCAGTTCTTGGCACCACTGCTGTTGCTCTGTTGCTTTCCCATACTCTTAGGTTTCAAGTTCCTACGTGTAGGGAATAATAAGGCTTGAGAAGTAAGGAGGTGGGCAGGAGGAAGAAAAAAAAAACAGTACAAGGTTGGGTAGGATGAAATTGCCAAAAAAAGAAGAAAACTGTGTGTATGCCCATTCCCCAACCAAGGTTCTCGGGGATGTCCTCACAGGACAGGGGATAGTGAGATTCACACAATAAAGAAGAGGTGCCTGCTGAAGTACTGAAGAAAGAAATTTCAGCTGAGAGACTGAAAGACTTATATAGAGAAGCTTACAGTAGTTACTAGAATCCAGTTTATGCTACACTACTGGTGTTCAGTATCAAATCTGTCTAGAGTGGATAGATTATATCTGTCTAAATTTAAAAATACAGTTGTAGGCTGGGGATGTGGCTCAGTGGTAGAACTTGGGTTTACCATGCACAAGGCCCTGGGGTTTGATTTCCCAGCACTACACACAAAATCCAGTCATGACTAATTTAAACATACAAAGGAAATAGTATAAAAGAAATCCACTTGCTTGCCCTTCTAACTGAACATTTTTAAATAGATTCTTTATTCATGGCTGTTCTTCCTACTGCTATCCCCTAGACCTTCAAGATTTTTTTTCTTCGTTTTTAACCTGGTTGCTGGCAATAGTGACCACATTGATGGAACACCCTACTGCATGTGTGCCCTTTTTGTTTTCAGTGCTGGGAACCTAACCCATGGTCTTGTGCTCTACCACCAAGCTACACCCCAGTCCTGTATAATTCCTTTTAAAAATTATTGTCTCATTGGATCATCACAATTACCCATGAAGCAGTATTATCCCTGTTTTCCAAGTGAGAAAACTCGGGCACAGGAGCTTCAGAAACTTGCCCAAAGTCATCCAGCACTAAGTGGCAGAGCTGGGATTCTGGGATTCATGCCCATGCAGTTTGGCTTCAAAGCCCATGCTCTTAATAGTATTCTAAGCCAAATCTTTCTAAAGTGCCACTGTGATTAGATCATTTCCATAATCGACTACTCTTCCCTGGCTCTTGGGTAAAGACAGGTTCAGATCATTCATTTATTATTACTTTACTGAGTGCTTGCTGGCAAAGTACTAGGCTGGTTGCTGAAGATTCAGAAGTGATAAGAGGATTCCTACCCTCAATGAGATCCAGAGTTCGTAAAAAAGAGACATACTGAAGACAAAATTTCAGATTCTGTGTGCTAATTGTAAATTATATATAAAAAAATAATAATAAGGCCCCTATAGGTGCATGGTTTCTTTGGGGTGAGTGAGTGAAAGTTGGGAGGAGCATCACAAATGGGTGCTGAGCCATGAAGTATGCTAAGGATAGTACAGATAGTGGACAAGGGTGTGGAGAGCTAAAATGACCATTTGTGAGCTCTGAATAGATTTTGATTGGAGGTTGGCAGGAGAGATGAACACTAAGTATGAGTTTGTGGTTTCCAGACATTTTTTGTTCACATACTCCATCAGTCAAAAATTTTGAGAAGTGACTAAATACATTTTGTCATACTTTACACAAATTATCATTTTTAAAATCCCAGCAGTAGCTGGGTGTGGTGGTGCACATCTATACTCCCAGCTACTCTGGAGGTTGAGGTGGGAGGATAGTTTGAGATCAGACCAAGCAACATAGCCAGACACCCATGTCTTAAAAAATAATAACAACTCCAGCAGTTAATAAAAATTAAGATGGATTATATAGATGTATGGATATGTGATGAGTCAAGTATAGTAAAAATTGATAGAATCTCAGTGGTATTTGGATGTTCATTGTAAAAGTATTTCAATTTGGCTGTGTGTTTTAACTTTTTCATAATGTTGGTGGGGGGATTCTCAGTAGTTTTTTTCAGCCCTGAGAACCACTGTTTGGGGAATGTATAAATTTTATTCTCCATGCTAGATTATAAACACTCTGATCTTTTTATATTTTTCATAATAGCTTGTATACTTTGGGCACAGGATTTCTTTTTTTTCCTAAGTAAATTGGTCATTGAACCTAAGGGAATGGGTTGTGAGGGTGACTTTTAAAAAGTGTATGGTGGAACACTTAATATAGTGGATTTAAGACCTGCTTCAGAATTGCATATGTAAATTACTTGTTGATGTTATCAGTGAGTAAAGTTCTCTCTCCTGGTTCTGATTGGTGACTGTTGGAGTGAAGAATTTCCTTGATTGTAACTTGAAAGACATTGATTAATAATGGATAACAATTTCCCCTTTCAGAGGTATTCTGTCATCTCCAAGGGGCAGTTTTTTTGCTTGGATGATTTGCCTGTCTAGCATTTCTTCTGACTGAATATTAGTGTTCTAAAACAAAACCAACTACTTGATTCTTTCCCTCCTTGGTTTTATTCTTCAGACTAGACCGCAAGATGGGCTTTTTTTGGTGCTGGGGATTGAATCCAGGGCCTCATGGGGAGGGTGCTGGGGATTGAATTCAGGGGCACTCAACCAATGAGCCACATCCCATCCCCAACCCTATTTTCGATTTTATTTAGAGACAGGGTCTCACTGAGTTGCTTAGTGCCTTGGTGTTGCTGAGGCTAGCTTTGAACTCTGGATCCTCCTGCCTCAGCCTCCTGAGCCACTGGAATTATAAGCATGTGCCAGCATGCCCAGCCAGGAAGATGGTCTTTTATTCTCAGTATCATTTTCACTTGTGGTAGAGAATGTAAAGGTGGTAGAATTAAATAATAAATTGCTGGGTTGTATGTTTAGCTTTAAACAGTTTAGGATTGCCCACAAATCAATTCAGTGTATATTGTTGAGATAAATTTTGTTGTTTGGTTGGTTTCAGTTATGCATTCTGTAGGCCTTTGTAAATGAAAGTTCCTAGTAGCAGGTAAATTGAGTAAACCCACAAGTTGCTTATCTGATACCTTCCAAAGGATCTCAGAAGTAGAGGAACCTAAAGCAGTTTTAGATAGTGATTTGGGGGATGATGTAATATGATGAAGAGGATGAGTGCTTTATTTAATAGTTAATGTATATGAGAAAAAAAGGATAAGGTAGCATATCAAATTCACCATTCCACAGGTATAGTTTTTTCACATATGGCCAATTAATGAAAATGAGTTGTGGTTTAAAGAAAAATATTAAGTTGCAATACTTAGTTGTGGCAGAAATCATAGTGGTAATATGTGAATAACTAGACTTTGAGGAGTCTGACCAGGAGCTGATGGTCATTTTATGCTTTCCTTCTTCAGAATACAATAAAACAATGGCTGGTGTGCTTCCTGACTGTTTAGTTATATAGTCATAGACAACTTGAAACGTCAGTGAGTCTTCTAGATGCTCTTATTTTGGAAAAATGATCATAATAGTAATTGCTGCTACTTCTTGAGTACCAAGTTATATATAAAGTGCTTTTTAAATATCTTGTTTAGTCCTCACAAGCTTGCTAGCTACATGGTATTGTTCCCCTTTTTACAGGTAAATAACCAGGGTACAAAAAGGTAAATAGGGACTAGCTCAACGGTAGATTGAGACCCTAGATTCTATTGCCACCAAATTTTTTTGGTGCTGGTGATTGAATCCAGGGCCTCATGCATGGTAAGTACATGTTCTACCACTGAGCAATAACCCCAGCTCCAATAATTTTTCTTTGGTGTGAGTGCTGGTAAGTGATGGACAAAATTCCTTATTTGAGGTCTCTTTTGCTTAAAATCTCCTTCCAGAATGCCACGGCACTTTTTCCTTCTTTTTGTACATTTTTTTGTGAGATGGTATAATTTTATTATCTAATTGCATAGATGTGTGAAGAAAAAGTTAAGCTGATTTATTAAGCACTTAGTTTGTGCCAACATTGTTAAATATACTATACTGCCAGTACAAAGCAAATGTGTAAGCTAATTGCCGAATGAGTGAGTTTCACAGTGATGTTAGAGGAATTCAAAAGTAGCATTTCCTTTTTCTGTATTTTCAGTCTCTGATTTCTTTCACTTACAGCACATACAGATTATTATTAT